CCTAAAATGCATTGTCTGACCTGGGATGTCACCCCTGGGGTATACTGAAGGAACTGATAAAACCTTTAGTTATCTTGGGGCAGTGACTTGAAAGAAATTTTAGGATTTGCATATTAATCCTTTCTAACTGATTAAAGATTTAATAGCCAGCTTAGGTTTTTGTTCTTTGACCCTATGATCTTTTGCTTATAAATTCTGTGTCTGATGCCACCTCTCTCTCTGACACCTGAAGAAGGAGCGAGACTCCGAAAGCTTGTGTCTTCAAATAAACCTGCTGGACTATAACTTGGTGTCGTGTGATTTTTAACCAAAAATGATTAATTGATTTGTTGTGTAATTATTGTGCGCAACTTTGCCATGCACAAAATGGCTGCTACAGTTACAGAAACATAACTAAATTGATGTAAAATCATTTCAGCTTTGAAACTTGTCAAATGTTGCCATGATGGCAAAGGCTATCTTTTACATTTTATGAAGGAAACTTTTACTCAAAATCTACTAAGATCAGAAAATATTGCAACAGGTAAAGCAAATTGATAGTGATATATATTACACTTTTGTGAAATATAGAATATTAGGCAATTGCTCGAAATTCACTATGTTCATTTGTGAACACAGAATGAGCCTAGTTGCAGTATTGAGCAAAGGGAATATGTAGCTTCACAATAGTCATGTCCGCATGCCAAGCAAGATCATGTTTATTCATTACTATAACTTGTAGTTTGCTAACCTTTTGTGTTGATATGAAGGCTAGTAACTGTCTTAACTGAAAGAAAATTAGTATCACTGAGATCTGTTCAAAAGGTTTTGATATTAACTTGGCCAGGACCAAATGTGTTTCAAACAAGGACAGCATGATGCATATAAGGCCCTTCTCCAGCCAAGATTCAGAAAGCTGGATACAATAGGCCATTCCTGCACCACCATACCTGCAAGAATGGATGCTTTGCAGAAATAGCTGCAACACAGTTCATTGGATAGGGTTTGCATCAGCATCAATGTCAATTACACTGCAGCAGTGGACTGAAGTGATCAGCCTGGCTTTACCTGACAATTACCAGCAATTTCATGGCACAGTCAATGACAACCTGCAATCAACACAAGAATTTCAGTAGCTTCTGGTTTGCCTACCTTCAATAATTTCTCTGTTAAAACTGAACTGGTGAGCTACCAACTGAGACCTAATTTGAGCAGCTTAACGATACCCTAGTCAGCAATCATTGGGCCTGGATGCTTAACTGCTATCATAAGTTTGCAATTCAGCCAATATTATCCAATATGAACCCTGATTATTCTACAGTTAGGAATCAGTTCTGGGTTCTACAATAAGCAATCTATACATCCAACGTGACTAGTAGGAAGCCAATCTAGAGCACTTGAGAAAGATAAAATCTCTTCAGCTAATAGATCTGTTACACTTATATTTCTAGTTGTATTAACATTTTTCCCTGCAGTTGTAACTATGTCAAAAAGGAACAATTTAATTGAAGTGGGTTACAGCTCACATAACTCAATTAAAAAACAATTGAATTAATATTTTGGAGGGCTCTTATGGTGCAGTGGTAGCGTCCCTACCCGAAGACCTGTGTTCATATCCCACCTGCTCCAGTGATGTTAATAACAACTTGAAATAGATGGATTAGAAAATACCTTGAATGAATGTTTTTCCTGTGAATTTAGGAGAGGGATTTGACTGTTAAAATGGTTAGAAGGTGTTTTAGCAAATACAACAACTGTTAAATGATAAATCAGACTTTTTTTTTCCAATTGTAAATATCATTTGTAAATAATTAAATATCAATTGTAAATATCCACAAATATCCCCATCCTCAATGATGGAAGAGCCCAGCACATCAGTGTAAAAGATAAGGCTGAAGCATTCGCAGCAATCTTCAGCCAGAAGTATCGAGTGGTTGATCCATCTTGGCCTCCTTCAGTGGTCCCCACCATTACAGATACCAGTCTTCAGCCAATTCGATTCACTCCAGGCAATATCAAGAAATGGTTGGAGACACTGGATACTGCAAAGGCTATGGGCCCCGGCAACATTCCAGCAATAGTACACAAGACTTGTGCTCTAGAACTTGCCGCTCCCCTAGCCAAGCTGTTCCAGTGCAGTGACAACACTGGTACCTACCTGGCAATGTGGAAAATTGCTCAAGTATGTCCTGTACACAAAAAGCAGGATAAATCCAATCCGGCCAATTACCGCCCCATCAGTCTACTCTCGGTCATCAGTAAAGTGATGGAAGGTGTCATCAATAGTGCTATCAAGCAGCACCTGCTCAGAAATAATCTGCTCAGTGACGCCCATTTTGGGTTCTGCTAGGGCCACTCAGCTCCTGATCTCATTACAGCCTTGGTTCAAACATGGACAAAAGAGCGGAATTCCAGAGGTGAGGTGAGAATGACAGCCCTTGATATCAAGGCTGCATTCGACCGAGTGTAGCATTAAGGAGCCTGAGAAAAACTGGAATCAATGGGTATCAGGAGGCAAACGCTCCAGTGGTTGGAGTCATGCCTGACACACAGAAAGATGGTCGTGGTATTGGGAGATCAATCATCTTAGGTCCAGGACATCTCTGCAGGAGTTCCTCAGGGTAGTATCCTAGGCCCAACCACCTTCAGCTGCTTCACCAATGACCTTCCCTCTATCTTAAGATCAGAAGTGGGGATGCTCGTCAATGATTGCACAATGTTCAGCACCATTCGTAACTCCTCAGATACTGAAGCAATCCATGTTCACATATAACAAGATCTGGACAATATCCAGGCGTGGGGTGACAAGTGGCAAGTGATATTCATGCCACACAAATGCCAGGCTATGACTATCACCAATAAGAGACAATCTAACCACCGTCCCTTGACATTCAATGGTGTTATCATCACTGAATCCCCCACTATCAACATTCTGGGGGTTACCATTGACCAGAAATGCAACTGGACTCACCACATTAACACAGTGGCTACAACAGCATGCCAGAAGCTAGGAATACTGCAACGAGTAACTCACCTCCTGACTCCTCAAAGCCTGTCTGCCATCTACAAGGCACAAATCAGGAGTGTGATGGAATACTCCCCACTTGTCTGGATGAGTGCAGCCCAACAACACTCAAGAAGCTTGACACCATCCAGGACAAAGCAGCCCGCTTGATTGGCACAACATCCACAAGCATTCACTCCCTCTACCACCGAAGCTCAGTAGCAGCAGTGTGTTCTATCTACAAGATGCACTGCATAAATTCACCAAAAATCCTCAGACAGCACCTTCCAAACCCATGACCACTTCCATCTAGAAGGACAATGGCATCAGACATATGGGAACACCACCACCTCCAAGTACCCGTCCAGTCACTCGCCATCCTGACTTGGAAATATATTCTTTTATCTCATTTTTCAAATTAAGATGATGCACTCTTATAAATACAAGAGGAAAAGTATGCAAGAAACCTGGATGCGAGTAAATAATTCAATTACTTAGAAAGGCAATAATGATTGACTGTTCCTTGGAGGGGAAAATACTGAAACTAGTTTGTCTTACTCAAAATTCAACAGCCACACAACTGATTTTCTGTTAAAACAAGGCTCTATATTGTAGAAATTGGCCTTTGAAGGTGTGCAGTGCAAATTCACCAGAAAGTTAAGAACCTCAGAAGTAAGATTAGTAGTAATAGTTTGTATACCTCCGAGCCTGCTCTGTTATTTGTTAAGACCACGGCTGATGTTTGATCTCAATTCCACTTCCCCAACTTGATTTCCCAGATGCCTTGATTCCATTAAGAACCCAAAGATGTATCAATTTCAGCCTTCAATACACTCAGTTACTGATTATCCATAGCACCTCTTAAGGGTACAGAATTCTAAAGATTCACAATCATCAAGCAAGTATTTTTTTCTCAATGGTCCTAAATGGTCACCCCTCATCCTGAGAAGATCACCCTTTCTGGAGTCTCCAGTCAGACAAAATAGCTTTCAACAGCTACCCTGTCAAACTCTCTTAGAATCCGATAGTAATTCAATTCGATCATCTCATTCGTCGAAATTATAGAGAATGCAGTTCCATTTTACTCAACCTTGCGTCACATGATAACTTCTTATCACCAGAAATCACTCTGGTGAACCTGCATTGCATCTTCTTCTAAGGCAGACTGTGGCCCATCCCATTAATTAAATTTAGGATATTTGTACACCAAGGAATGACTGCATTGTGAAATGTGCTTTGTAATAAATTAGCACAAGAATGGCTCGATTAATAGAATATTTAAGCGATGTAAAAATAATTTTAATCAGAAGAAATTTATTTAAATAAACCAAAATCAACGGTTTTGTTAGTATTCACTTAATCGCACAGTCATTACCCAGGACCTTTTAGCAAAATAATCTGATTCTTAAGAGATGTACGCCATCCGAGGCTTAATACTGAAAGCTTTATGCATTTCTCGCGAATCCAAATGTGCTGTTAATTGTACAAGTGTTGTGTTATGGTTTTAAGTTGAAATTTATTTTTATTAATAAGTTATTTTGGAGTTCCAGAATCTCTCAAGTCTTCCTCAAAAAATTAACGTAAAACTGCCTAAAACTTTGTATTAGCTAAATCACTAATGTCACAACTATTGAGGACAGATGGCATAATCTGGATTCAGCACATTAAATTCAGAAAGGCAGAATGGTGCGACTGCTACCGTTGCAACCCACAATGAAAAGGTGAATGCTTGTGGGGATTAGGGGAAAATTACATCCTTATTTTAGAAAGCAAATATACCAGAAGCTTTCAAAAAGGGGTTTGGCAACCAAGTGCACTGTATTTACAGGTCCCACCACATAGCATTGTATAAAATCAAACTCTAAATTAGTATTGATTGACTCATTTGAGTTAGATGGATTGCATTACAAGCTACACGTTGAACTGTAGATGATTTCTGAGCCAATCTGACCTTGCCTTGGCACCATAATCAGAGCATAAGATTCCTCTTGTCCAATTTAAATTGTTCATTACTTACCGACGGATCAAAGAAGAGAAGTCCCGTGTGTTCGTGTTTTACTATTGCTATGTTTCCAGGTATATTTCTTGCCAGTACTGGAACATTAAGGTCCATCGCCTAAATATAACAAACCCCAGCCAAAAAAAAATGCAAGTTATCTTAGCAAAATAAATGAATAAAAGTAAACTGAATTTAATCTGAATCCTTCCCAATTATACTCTGTACAGATTATAAGTCACAACACACAATGTCTCCATAAAAAACTGGTCAATGAATTTCTCTGTAATCATTACTGATGTTTCCCCACAGCTAGGCAGCTATTGGCAATTTAAATTGGGACAGTCAGAATATTGACCTGTTTGGTTTCCATATAGAAAAGAAAGCCATTTAGCTCAAGTTCTATGTTACAGCTAATCTTAAAATACCCATCTACTGATGTTATAATTGAAAGGTTAAAGAACCAAATCATTTAAGTTAGTGAAATTCAAAAATAAATAATTGTTTATGAAAGGAAGTCAGATACTTTGGAAATTACAGAACCTCTAGAATTGCAGAAGACATTCCTTCAGAGATAGAACTATTTACAACAGCAAAAGAATTCCTCATGGCAGCATGCAATTCTTCCTGGGGTTTCTCTGAAACTAGACAGATCCCAGAAGCACTATAAAAACAAACAAAAAAAGGTTTATGTTTAATTTTCATAAAATAATATATATAAGTTAATGCAAATATTGCATGCCAACAAAAGACGTTATGATTAGTTAACTTCTATTTTGTGATTGTGGTTTTAATTTAGTTTACTTGAAATCTGGAACAATTTTTGTGCCCTTTAAATAATTAAAATGAGAAATTTCAGTGCTGGATCATGAAAGCTTATATATCCATTTTGGATAACTATTAAACACTCCAAGATCATGAATAACATGGTTAAGGAATAGAGTACGGATCTGAACTCTCACCTTGTAGAAAAAAATTGCTGTACCGGTTAATGTTATTTTCCCGCTGTTCATACTCAATATGCGCAGGAAACAGAAAACTGGCTAAGAGCTTCTTTTACTTCATGATTTATGGCTTGATTAAAACCAGATCCTAGATCACAGTATCAGCAAGGCATTATAGTTTCAATTATGGAAATAGTCATTTTACCAACTTTGGGAGTAAAAAGATATATTCTCGAAAGTAACTAATTATTCCATAAATCAAATTAATAACAAACAATGAGTGTTTTTCTTTAAAAGAATGTTCTGGAACAGAAACACAATACAAACATGGGATCAACAATAAAAGAAAAACCAAATATTTCAGAGATTATAGAAAGGAATACTTGTTCATTAAATTAAAAAAGTTAAAATCAGCTTACTTTTTGACCTTGGCTTTCACCTGCTGTGTGAATGCCACATCAACCTGCAAAAAAAAAAAAAAAAAAATCAGTTAAGCAACAGATAAATTTGACCCTCCTCTTTTGGAACATAACTGTACTTGTCTCTTAGATAATGAAAATGCTTTGCAATTCTTAAAATAATATATTTTGAAACTGTAAAGTATTTGTCATGGCCAGCATTCTTCCCTCTGCCACTACCAGGAAAAACTGATTAACTGACTATTTATCTTGTACGCTCTTTGGAATTTGGATGCATTCCAAATCGGTTGCAATCGTTGTTTACATATCACTTCAATTTAAAAGTAATTTACTGGTCTATGAAATTCACAGAATGGCCTGAGACATGATAATACTACAATATAAATGCAAAACGCTCTTCCTTCTATATAACACACACAATAAAAATAAACCTGTTGTAAATTACTTTTACTTCTGATTTTCTTGCTCCTCTTCCAGTGCTGGTGATTGAGGCTAGGCTATGGTGCCAAGAGCGGTGACAGCCTTGCTATGTCTTTGCCAGGTTCCCATTTGCCTGCAAATTTAAACAATAACAGCTGCCGCTCTATTTCATCATAAGGGCAGCACCACTGAACTAAACACTGATCTTACTCAACATCTACATGGATGCATTATTTCTAGCTTGGGCCATAGACAACAATCAAGTGCAGGAATCCCTAGTCCATATTTTCCCTTGGACAATATACCTACTTGATGTGGTCCTATCATGTTCAAGCTAGAAGTTATTTAACAAAATATATTTTGTGAAATAACTGCACAGAGGCCGGTATCCCGTCACCAAGTCACCCTTTACTTACTTGTGCACGGTGCACTAGCTGTGGCCGGCCAGCCAGCTCCGAGTCAGTTCCCTGAACCAAGGAGATTCTAAATCTCCTGATTATATTGGTCAGCAAGGGCTTTACTGATTGGAAACCCCAATCAAGAAACTCATAGTCAATGAGGTCCACCTGGTTCCAATCACTACATTTTGAAACTGTTAGATCCTTCCTTTTTTGCAACAACATCTGAATAATCATGCAAAGTTAGTTTTGCTCTGGGTTCCTTCTGGTGGACCAAACAGACACAGTGAATTTGAGTTGTATTATGATTGTGAAGAAAGAGGTGCCCCTAATTTTCCAATTTCAGGCCTCCCATCTATAGGCATGAGAGGTTATAGGATTAATGAAAGGAGAGGGTAAGGTTTGCAGTCAATTCAAGGCATGAACTTGCTTGCCAAACTTTCATAGAATCCATACAGTGTGGAAACAGGCCATTTGGTCTATCAGGTCCACACCGAACAGCAACCCACCCAGACACATCCCCTACGTTACCCCTGTTACCCTGCATTTCCCATGGATAATCCACCTGGCCTGCATATCCCTGGATACTATGGGCAATTTAGCATGGCCAATCCACCTAACCTGCACATCTCTGGACTGTGGGAGCAAACTGGAGAACCCAGAGTAAACCCATGCAAACACGGGGAGTATGAGCAAACTCCACACAGTCAGAGGGTGGAATTGAACCCGAGTCCCTGGCGCTGTGAGGCAGCAGTGCTAACCACTGAGCCACCACCCCACCCTGCTCCCAAGATCTGCTGAATCTCTGGCCATACATTCCTTCTTCACAAGCTATAATGTTTTGGGCTGCCCTCTGTGAGCTGTCCAGATATCAAGCAGATACACACATGATCATGGCACTTAGGCAGATAGCAGGGAGTGCCTCCTCACGCCGTGTAATCGCACTCAACATGTTGGCCTTGATGATGTAATGTCAGGTAAATCCAACAGTAGCTGTTACGAAGGTGATGTTCCATAGATGCTGCCATGATGAACCCCTTCCCTATGTACTGAATATATTACTTAACACACATTCATTTATATGTTACTGAAAGTTCCAAATTAATTTAAAGACTGGGCCTTTTGCCAATCTACTGTACATTATACCAAATCTCCAAAGTCACTGTACGACTTAGAGCTCACTCCCAATATATTTAAGTTTTTGAAATATGTTCTACTATCCCATGATCTATTCCTTTTCAGTATACTCTGATCGTGAAAGCACAGTATGTTATTGCAATGATTCAGGTTTGTATCTAAAAACCCGTCTTGCAATGAATTAAAAATATAAAATTTACTGGATATATTTGATTTCTTATGGTTAAACCTATGCTGTTGTTCTGTTGCTATTTGCCCTTTTAACTTTTGCACATTTCCACTCTTTTGTGTTCTTTCCCTGTGTGTCTTTCACATGTTACCTTATTTTCAAACTTTTCTTGATGCCTTTTCCAGTTTGACTCCTTAATTCCCATAGCTTTCATTTTTTTTTCCAATTGCCTCCTTTGCGTACGTTGCTTTCTCTCTGCTTCAAATGTCCTTTCAATTTCACTTATTTTCAATTTTCATTCTTATTCTTATTTTTTATCCCAATTGCATTTTATTTACTTTCTGCTGTTGACAAAAACATAAGTTCAAAAAAACTCAACGATTCTATGCTCATGTATGGAGCATGAAAGAACTTTGGAAGCAAAGGGCGAACTGCAAGATCCTTCCTTCAGTCAGGCAACAAACAGTGAGCCGAAGGTTTTGGGCAAAGAAAGTTATCATGAGCTGCTATCTTGACACCAGGGAGATAAAGTGCAAAGAAATAAAACAAAAATAGTGCACAGTTTTCTCACATCTACCCCAAATGCACGCAACTGCTGCTTCAGTAACATTTTCTTGGTATTAGTCACGATACTTCACCAGTCTTAAAATAGTGCTAAAAGAAGTCATTAATCCACTTAAAAGCTTCTTCCTATTCAGCCATTATAGAAACACCTCCCTTTAGTGGATCAACAAGGTGATCAGACTTAGATCAGTCTCTGAATTGATTAATCACAGTCAAAGATCCACTTTGTTTTATGTAGTGTGACCACAACATGGCTTTGCAAAAGTAGATTTTAGCAAATATAGTTTCCTCACTGTAACTCCAGCAGATATATGGGTGTTATTAAAATACTTTCAAAGTGGGACAATGTTAAAATTACCTTCATTAAACAGCCACATTGCTTATTAGAAGTGTTCATTAGAAAATGAGTGCAAGAAAAAATCAAAGCTGACCAGAAAATTAATACAGAGAAATGGCAAATCTGCAATGCAACCCTTCTAAATGGCAGTCAGCCAGAAAGGCTTATTGGCAATATCCAAGTAATTAACAAAGAAAACACATTAAATTGTTTAGCAATGTGGAGAGACACGGCCATCTGCTGACCTAAAATACTGTCCAACTTGCATATCTAAACCAGGTTTAATAAGGATATTTCTCACTAAAAATTGTTAGCTCAAGGCCAAAATTCATTTCTGAAGTTAACCCTTTATTGAAAACTGCTTTTGCAGAGCACTAGGATCCAGTAGGAATGTAACGGGTTCACTACACTAGTTCCTGGGATGGGCCAAGAGAGATTGAATAGACTGTGGCTACATTCCCTGGAGTTTAGACGAATGAGAAGTGGTTTAATTGAAACAGTGACAATTCTCAAGGGGCTTTGATAGGATAGATGCTGAGAAAATGTTTTTTCTTGGTTGGATTATCTCAAAGTCAGGATTACAGACTCAGAATAAAACTACTCACCGTGAGTACTGGGATGAGGAGAAATTTCTTAACTCAAAGTGTTATGAATTTTAGGAATTCTCTACCCTCCCAGGGGTCTGTGATATTCAGTCATTTAAGATATTCATAATAGAGGTCAATAAGACCTTTGCATGCTAACAGAATTAAGGAATGAGATAGCACAGGAAGGTGGAGTGCACAGGGAAGATTAGCCATGATTTACTCAATGGCAAAACAGGCTCTAAAGTAAAATAAAGTCTTCGCTAGTTATTACTTCTTATACTATAACTTGTTTTGTAAGTGCCTTAGCCCTATCTCTGGAGTTACTTTTTATATATCTTCACTTCGCTATGTCCGGACAAGCTTTTATTTCCCCAACATGCTTTCCCTCACTGTTCATGACTTTCAATCCAAAGCCCACACCACAAGCTCACACATCGTCCAAAATGTTTCACATGGTAGCAACATAAACACAATCAAATGATTACTAAAATTAAAATTGAGGATACAGTTGCAAAGCAGTATGTTATGTACACATAATCCTGAAGCCCAGACCAATAATTCAGAGAGATGAGCCCAAACCACACCATGAAAGTTGTGGAATTTAAATTTAGCTAATTAAAAAAAATCTATAATAATAAGCTAGTATCAACAATAGTGATAAAAAAATGACCAAATTTTCATTAAATAAAATGTTTGGTTCATGTATGAGCCTTAGGAACGGGACCTGCCGTCCATACATAGTCTGGCTCTTGTGACAGGAGATCCAGAGTAATATGATTTGCTCTAAACTGCCTTCCAAATGGCCCAGCAAACTATTCAGTTGTACTGAACAGCTACAATATAGTAAAGGTCTAAAACTGAACAGATCACTTGGCTTCAAAATAGGTATCTGATACGGACATGACAAAGGCCCAACTAGCTCAGCCAACCCTTCAAAGTTCTCACTAATTTCCAGGAATTAGATCTGCCAAAAAATCCAAGCTCAGATTTGGAGATGTTTGCTAATAATTGCAGAGTTCAGTTCCCTTCATAGCTGCTCAGATACTGAATCAGTCTGTGCCTGAATATGATAAGACTTAGACAATATTCAGACTTAGGCTAAGTGGCAAGCACTAAGTGCCAGGCAATGATCCTCTCCAACAAAAAAAGGATTTCACTATCGCTTGCTGACATACAATGACATTTTCACTGTTGAATCCTCCCCAATCAACATTCTGAGGGGTTACCAGTGATCAAAAATTTAACTGGACCAGTCACTTAAATAGCATAGCAACAAAAGCACGTCTGAGGCTGGGAACTCTGAACATGCTACTCACCTCCTAACTATGCAAAGTCTGTTTACCATCTACATTGCATAAGCCAGGAGTGTGAGCTTTCCGCTTCCTTGAACGAATGCAGTTTCAAGAACACTCAAGACTTTTGAGATCATCAAAGACAGTGCAGCTTGTTCAATTGCAACCACCTTAGACACATTGAAAGCACTACTGGTACAGTATCAGAAGTCTGCACCTATACATCTGCAAGGTATATTGCAGCAACTCACCAAAGCAATGTCAAAACTGTCTTGTAAACCAGGGGCATAGACTGACCACCTTGAAGAACAAGGGCAGCTGGCATATAGAAACACCATCAGCTGTAAGTTCACCCTTGAGACACATACCATCCTGACTTGGAAGCAGATCATTATTGCTCCATTGTTACTAAATCTAAAACATGGAACTCAGTTCTCAACAGCACTGTGACAGTACCTTCACCACACAGACTGAGAGGTCAAGAGGGCCTTCTCAAAAGGTAATCAGGTATGGGCAATAAATGCTGACCTTGCCATTGGTGCTTGCATCTCATGAATAAATAAAACAAAAATAAAAGACAAATTTTCCATCATATTTTCGTTAGCCTGCTAAATAAAGAGCAGTGACATAATTCCATATTGATTTATAAGGATAATGCATTTGTTATGATCCCAACCAATGGTAATACTGGACAATTCAATGTCATAGTAAAACCTGAATTGATAAATCATAAGTTATATTTTTACACTTTGATTACTATGGTGGTTAGTCACTGAACATATTCACGAGAAGTTGCCAATGTATGTTCAACATCAGCATTATAGACAAAAGGAAAAGAAAACACTACTCTAGGTGATATCAAGAACTACGTGAAATGGTCTTATGACAATATCAGAAATAAAGAGTCAACCTTTGTACCTTCAACAACATTATAGATATGCAAACCTCAGTGAAAGGTCACCTTGCTTCCACTTAAAAGTAGTTCCTTCTTTAGTTGGCACAGCTGAACTTGGCTTCTTCAAGGCAAACTCCTGCATTCACTCAATGCTACCTTCTTTGGTTAGTATCTCTTCATGAGGCCACGAAACAAACTGCTGACACAGCTCATTTATTTCTTAACATTGATTGTTTAAATTCCTTTTCCATAGCTTTCTTCCACAGCTTTCTGTTTCTGGAGCTGTCTTTTATTGACATTAAACCATGACAGACTGCTTAACTCCAGTCCGGACTGTTCTAAAGACTGCTAAACTGCTCATAGATCTGTGCTCTCTGACAGAAACCTGCACACTCACTGAAATAAATCTTCTAAATATTTCTGTGTTTCTAAACATACTAGTTTCTGTCTCTGTCCCTTTGTGTCATAGACCATAACTGACAGTCCAACATTTTTCTCTCTACCTTTGTTTTTCTAAATCACTGAACGATTCACCATTAGGATCTTTCAAAAGCCTAATTTAAAAGCACACAACCAGATTATCAGATATGACTATAGCCCTGATGATGTGATGAGTTAACTCCTTCCTTCTTAATCCATACAGTACATAAATTCAAATGAAGCTTATATAGGTATGCATGGTTCTAGTCACATGAGAACTGCAGTTTCCAAATAACAATAATATATCATGATCTTCAGCACATTGAAATGGTGTTAACTTGTCCTGCATAATGTATCATCTACAGTGCAGAAGACCACTAAATAAGTCAATAAAACATCCTTTATGAGAAAAATAGACATTCAAACATTTGAAGAAAGATCTCTTACCTCTGGTCCAATAATAATTAAATAAACCCTTGGATCTTTCTTATGCCAAGCTATAAAAGAAGATTTTTTTTAAAAATCAGCTGAAATACATGAAATGGATTTTGCTTTACATTTTGTCCATATTTCAGTTGCTTGGAATTCAGACAATGGTACACTGTCTCACTTCCATTTAATAGCCTCAAGAAAATAGATAAGGCTAAACCCCAGCAGTATGCCTGAAATAACTATTAACTTTAGAACTGGGGGTCTTGGGCTAAATATTAGAAAAGGGAAATTGTACAGGCAATTTAAAATGAAATTACTTTACCCAACAGATAATGAATGCATGATATGGAATTTTCAGAGAAATGCTGGAGTAAGATAACATTGGAAAAAAAGTCAAGTTGAAATTAGATCGGAATTTGAGAGAAGAGTGTTTTAAGAATATTGGTTTTACGGACTGGTCAGGATATACTGCCAAGTCATTTCTGGCCCTGTATTTACCCCTATAGCCTACGCTGTTGACAGTTGCTGATTACACAGTAAAAACAAGACTGTAATGATAATCAATGTAACTTAAACTGGTTTTATTATTTCTCCTTTCTTTAGATGCAAATATTCTGATAGTTCAACATATTGCAATAAAAATTGTTACAGGGTTCCATGCAAATTTATGAAAAATCTCCATGGATCTAATATTCAGTCATAAATATTGGATGGTTGTTAAATAGGGAATTCAGGAGAGACCTCAGTATCCAAGGAATGTTTAGAATGTGGATATTGCATAGATTATCAAGAGGAAGCTAAATAAACCCATGACAGAGAAAGGAATAGATGAATCTGTTGATAGGGCTAGATGAGGGAGGGTGGGAGGATGTTTGTGTGGATCATAGACACCAGGATAGGCTAATTGGTCCAACTGACCTGTTTTTGTGTTATGTTTTAATATCTCTGTCATTAATTACACACCTTCCAAGTTCCTTCACAGAAGGAACATCTAGTTGAAAAAGACAAAACGTTTCATCAACAGTTATTAATGACAAAATATAGTTCATGGTTTAGCAGAAAAGATGACATAATTCCACAAGTTATTTGACCCAAATCTTATTAATAATACATAAAAAAGCTGAGGCTGCATTATATTTCATAAATTGTGACAATTAAGCATCCAGAAATAGTAGTCTTGACCAAACTAGATTGCATTAATTCTAAGCAAGGTTTCCAGAGTGTACAGGGTCTTTCTTCTTCTCCTCATTACTGCATAAATTAATAGGCTTTCAATTCACCGAAGTAATTAATAGAAGGATCAACAGTTCAATATAGAATATATATGCCTGGATTCTCAAGAGAGTACAATTACGAACATTGCCACTTAAAAATCAAGGCACATTCAGTACATTACGTTAATGAAAACTACCTTAAGTACCTGAAAAAGCATCCACCAAAAAGAGGGGATCTTTAACTCGCCGAAGTCCGCACACCAAAAGAAATACGTATGCTTCAATATTCTTACAATGAATCCCTGTAATCAGTATACAAGAAAATAGCTAGTTTATTTGTTCGTAAAGTAGAAAATCATGTTCAGTAATCTTTTCAGTCTAAAAAAGATCCAGTCTTTATTACAACTTTTTGCAAATGATAAATTTTTTAAAATCAGTGCGATCTAGTTTCGCGTTGTTATTCCAGTGGGACAGAAAAGCCAGACTGATATAGAAAATTAACATGTTTGCAACATTCTATATTTCAGTTTACACAGATATTTACTTTATTGTAGACTGTCACAATCTTTTAGTTATGATTCAGAAGGGAAAGTTTCTTAAAAATTTCAGCAGACTGAATTAAAGCAATTAATTTTCTCGCAGAGAGGCTGTAAAGTTTGCATTGATCTCAGTTCTGTTCCCAGGCTTGCTCTCTCCCAAGATTACTTCATACACACTGTTTTTGTTTTGCTTCCGAACAGCAATGCAGAAACATTTAATTTTACCATATGTGAACTTAAATTGCAAAAACTATGCTCATCCATATTCAATAAAACAACAGGTGAAAATAATCCTCTATTCACTACCAAATTCCAAATCAGGAGAGAATGTGTACTCAAAAGGAAATGAATTAGACAATGATGTAGTAGCCATGCCTCTACATGATGAAGTGGTTCTGTAGGGGAACGTTAAATTTAGTGCAGTAAAACAGAATAATTGGCTATCTGTTATATGGAGCGCAGCAAAATCATATTTAATTCACCATCCAAAATGATAAGACAGCCTGCTAACTTCTACCAAGTGGATATTGTGGCATATTTTTACCTGAAACAAATTAAGCAGAATTTAAAAGAAAATCATATGCAAATAACTTAGTCAAGGGATTAAACGATTAACATATTTGGCTTTGCTCACAGTTTTAGATGACATCTGATTATCAACTGGATGATTGATTTGCAATCCATTCTCAATTAATCAATATTATGTGTAACATAACAGGGTCATCAGTGACAAAAAGTGGAAAAGTGAGTTTTGAGGAAGAGTCTGATGCCACTTCATTGTGTGATTAAGTCCCCCAGTATCCTATAATATATTCTATATTTAATATATTCTACCATAAATTATACACAGCAATGTTGTCAGAACTTCACAAATGCAAGGATATATTTGAATTAAAAAGTGATTTTACAAACCACTGAGGGGAAGAAAGAAAACAGTGGTCAGAATTAGAAAGAAAAAGCATTTGATTTGATGCAACACTTTGAATATATGTGAAGTTGATGCAAGCCACTGATAATGATTATTGTACCACTGGCGAAAATTGGGGAAAAAACATTAGATTTGATGACAAAACAGCTGACAACAGATGTGTCACCATAAAAATCAATCTGAATCAAATAATTTAATACCAATTATTAACTTTAAAACAGACAGAACATACTTGGCTGGATTTTACCTGCAATTGGCTGAGTGTCAATTCTGGTAAGGTTCATGGAGGGTTTCTCTCCATAAGCACTAGAGAGATTTCTCACATCATCTCTCAAACTTGCCCAATTACCTGGCACCCAGTTTGTTGTATTCTCCCACTCAGCACAGGCAGAGGTACTCGTCACTGCCAGGGCTACTTGGGATCCCTGGCACTGACACCATCTTTAAAGCCCAGCTGTGTACCTGGTCCAGCTCTGTCATTTGGAGCTGCCTTTCACCATGTATGTAGTGAGAAGGCAACCAAAAGCAAATGCTTCTCAGAGAACACAGGTAACATCGCTGACATTTCATTGCATATTACAGCGCACATTATTACATGTAATGCTACTTAAGAAGCAAGCTACACAGTTTACTCATCGAAGAACACTAACGGAATGTTACTCTGTCCTCAATGCCCAGTGAAGCTCAACATCTTCTCATTGTTTAATGAGGGATCAGTGTAATACTGAAAGACTTCAAACAGTGCAACAGAATCCCTACAGCATGGAAGCAGGCCATTCGGCCCATCGAGTCCACACAAACCCTCCAAAGAGTATCCCATTCGGATTCACCTCCCTGACCTTATCTCTGTAACCCTGCACTTCCCATGGCTAATCCACCAAGCCTGCACATGCCCCTGATCACAATGGGCAATTTAGCTTGGGCAATCCACCTAACCTGCACATTTTTGGATTGTGGAAGCACCTGGAGGAAACCCATGCAGACATGGGCAGAATGTGCAAACTCCACACAGACAATCGCTCAACACTGGAATTGAGCCCGGGTCCCTGTGAAGCAACAGTGCTCACCACTGGGCCACCATGCCGCCCAAAACATTCGAACGTTCAAAACGTTCACTTTTATTCAGCAAAAGCAAAAGTGAACAAAACAAGAAAAAGCAGGATCTGCAATTGCCTCTGGGAACAGACAGTGACTGCTGGCCTTCTCATCACCAACTAATTGACTGTCAATGAGTGATCAGTACACCCAGCTCACATCTACTGAAACCAGGTTTCAATGAAGTCCTGATGGTGAGTCATCTAGACGCAATATATTAGCTTGCTGTTTCTCCATGGATGCTGCCTGACCTGTGGTGATTTCCAGCATTGTTTGTTGTCAGTACAGATTCCAGCATCTGCAGTAATTTACTCCTTCAATGAAATCCTGTCTGGCTTGTTGCGCTTGATGCTGCAGCAGCCTATTATGTGACGTTTCTCTGGTCAATGTCCTCATCTTCCTCCTCAGAAGACTGCTGCTATTCTCCCGGTTCTTCAGATCCATCACAACCCCTCGAAGCCTGCTCGAGCTATGCAGAGCACGATGCTAGGAGTTTGTAACATACTGTCTGGACTATACTGCAGCACTCCCCTAGTCCGATCCAAGCATTGGAATCTCATCTTTAAGACATCTATCATCTGCTGCAGGATAGTTCTGTTAGAAAAAAGGGCTGCATTATATGCTCAGCCTCAGTCAGATGTTGTAATGGAGTCATCAGTTATGGTTGCAGAGAGTAGCTCTTGTCTCCTGGTAACCATCTTTGTAAGGCATCCAGCTCTTGATACAAACCAGCAACATGAGAGTTCTCAAGAACATAGGCATCATGGCAGCTTCCAAGGAAACTACTGCAGATGTCTGCGATGTTGTACTGGTGATCACAGATGACTTGTACATTGATGGAATGGAACCCTTTTCTATGGTGAAGTCAGCTACATTTTGATATGGCACTGTCAGTGTGATGTGTGTAGCCTATCGCATCCTGCTCCTGGGGAAAGCCAGCTGTGCTGCCAAAGCCAATCGTCTAGCTGCACAACTGATCATATCACTAGGAAATGAGATTAAGCAGTGTGATCTGGTACAAATTGCATCAGTAACAGCCGTAATGCATTTGTGATTTGAGGATTGAGAGATCCTACAAAAGTCCTCAGTGGGTCATTGAAAGTAATTGATTCCATAAAGATTTTGATCAGCTGTCACCTTGATGGTCATCAGCACTGCATGGCAACCCACTTCTTCATGTTGCAGGTCGCACTCCAGCAGTTGGCACAGATGTATGACAGTGTCCTGGGACACCCTCAGTCTGTGGCATCAATCCTTCCTTGCTCATTTGGAGGAAATAGTATTGAATATGACAAACTTTGGGTTTCCAGTATGTCCTCCAGATCCTGATGGAACCTTCAGCTGTGACATCTTCATGTGGACACTGTTTGGTATCTGCTGGTCCTGGACTTGTTGACACTTCTGTTACTCCTCCACTTCACTGTGTCTTTGTAGCGATGCAGTAACAGCGACAATAACGCTTGCTGTGGCTGAATCCATTGGTCATGTTTTCAACGGACCTTAATCATAGAATCTCTGCAGTACAGATAGAGGCTATTTGGCCCTAAGTCAGCACCAATGCTTCAAACGGCATCTCAGCCGATCCTCATGACCCCACATTTATCATAGTTAACCCATCTAGGCACACTACGGGGCAATTTAGCATAGTCAATCCACCTAACCTGCACATCTTTGGACTGTGGGACTTACTGTGCAAAATAAGAAAACGAACAGGTGCTTAGTAATGTGAGCAGTCAATGTTCACACCACACAAAATTTACAGATTAGTACAGTCTTCCAGGCAATGGAACATGGAGGACTCCAACATGGAAGGCCATGGAATGCTTTTCCATGGAACTTCAACATAGGGACTTCAGATTGACAAATATAGCACAAGTCATGTCACTCAAAGACAGAAGGAGATTAAAAGTACTGTATGATTATTGACATCTTGCTCTCCATCACCTGCCTTACCCAACAAAGGTTTCAGTGCACATAAAAGTATGTTGGCAAATATTTGTAGTTCAACGTAACAGGAAATCAGTTCCATGCTCTGGTGTAGCCTGTAAGATCTTGGATTAGATTTATGCATTGTGACCCGCTGATGCCACTTTCAAGGTCAACTGTGATTACTTCTGCTTCACAGAAATGACTATGATCAATGAGCAATGACCAATGACATGGTCAAGATTTCTTCTGACCAGGATTTGCACCCCACACAGTTGGAGTCTGCATGCATTTTACATGCATGATGCTATATTACAAATGTTACTGTGGAAGGGTCTGAGTAACGTAATTGACTCTTGAAAGGCCTCACATTGCTCACAAGTAGGGACCTTGTGTTCAGGCAGAAAAATCAATTACTCAGCCATTTGCCATTTCCAGAACATACTTACAAATCCCAAGAGTATAGAATGCAGGTCATTTGGTGTCAGTACTGAGCTTCCACACATTCACACATCCCTCTTTGAATTACTTCAGCTCTCAACATTACCTCATGAGCTCAGGCCCCATGGTTTACTCATGCCAACCATTATGCTGTATTGTACACCTGAGGCCAGGGTGGCTGTGATAGTCAATCACCACCCCCTCCTCTGCAACACACACAGTATTTCATGACCTTAAATATACTTTTGTCTACCTTCTTATATTTTGACATCCTCCTTCACAATTATTGTCCCCTTTGCATCCCAGCATGCTGCCTCTAATCCCCACAATTACATGCCCACCCCTCCCCAACCCCCATTCTTTACTCCAGCAG